AGGAGTAACTTTTCCTAACTGATTTGTTTCCATGAAACGACGTAGAGTGTAGGGGAAGAAGAAAACCAATGTACTGTTGAAACCAAACAATGTACTTTTAAAAAAATCCCACCAGGGAAGTACTGGAAGTCCCATCAGTACTATGTGGCTGTCAGAGGCCAGCTTGCAGTGGTTTATATGAGCAATTTCTATATATGTGTGTTTGTGATCCTTGGAGAGGGGTGAAGAAAAGGGAGGAGAAATTAGGAAAAGCAAAAGGGGAAGAAATAAAGGCACGGCAAGATTGTCCTCTAGAAATGGTGAGGTTTGGCTTAAATCCCACCTAGGTCCTTGAAGTGTCTTTTTGTGTGTGATCACAATACATGGCTGAGGTTTTCGCTTGGGAATTGCTACTGACTACTTTGGTCCTTCACAGAATTAATCCTTAGATAAAATTAGAAGCTGGCACCATTTTTCAGCCTATGCTACTAAAAATACATTGCATTGATCCTCTCTCCGTACTTTGGCATGCACGGGAGCAGAAAAAGAGTGGGAAGCTATCGAAACTGAGGCATAACACATGTTCTGAAGTTGGACTTCTTCCGTGGCGATCAGCTGTGCAGCTCTTAAGGAGGCCTGGGAAGAAAACAGATTTGGAATAGGAGTTTTGTGTGGCTCAATGTGTAACAGCAGCTCCACAGACATTATTTGTCCTTCAGGAAATCTGCTGACTTTAGTCTGGCGTTTGCGTTCTCTTATTGCTGTGGTAAACTCAGAAAGTTGCAAACAGCATCTATGCTCATAGGGATGAAGAGCCAATTTGCAGGGGCTCTGCTCAATTTTGCGATGCAGGGGAGAAGGCAGAAAAAATTGTTTCTTAATTGAATCCTAATCTTCTATTGCTTTACCTAGCATGCACTTTGTCTAATACAACTACATAGCTCATCTAAAGGCTTGAAAATTGAAACTCCTAGAGAGGATGCCTTTGATGTAATTTCCATAAAAGTTGTTGCTTGCTACGTTTGAAGGGAATAAAGCAACTGTACATGCTATTTAATTGAAACCTTATGGAGTAACATCTAGGACCTGGATCATGACTAAATGATCACTGCAAAAACAGCTGTTCCCCCTCCCACCACTTGTGCCCAATACTGTTTGTTACTAACCCTCTGCCAGACTGTGGCATTCCCCTAGCATAGCAACAGAATTATTTGGCTGAGCACTCTTGTGATTCAGTGCAAAGTCCAAAAGAATGGTTCAAACAATTTTTTTGTGGTCCCTGACTTACTGCTTAAGCAGAAAAAGTTCATTTGCATGGCCTACAGTACCTGTTCTGCTTGAGGGTGCTAACAAGCAGCTGGTGAGGGAGAGAAGTAGGGTACAGAAGTTTTGTTAATAATTATCTGAACACAGTCTATTGATAAATCATTTAATTGTTAGGCAAAAGACTTCTGGATCCATCTATGATAGTGGAAGATGCTTTTACTTTCTGTTTCTCATTGCTACCCTCTTAGCATACAGGTCTGTTGAAAGAGTCCTCATGCAGGCGTGCTTCTGGAGTTTTAAGCAAAATTAGCCAAATTGCACTAGTTGCAACACTTTAAACTTTAGCTGGACTGATGTTATGCCTTGCACAGATAAGGAAAAACTTGCATGAACTCCTCTGCAGACAAACCAGTGAGGGCAATTAAGAGTTATTTCCTGGATGAGCTGAATTCAGAACAGGCTTAAGAGTTGGTGCAAGTTTGCACCAGTGGTGGTATACCAATACAACTCTCTTCATAATATTCTGCTTTTATTTATAGTACTTTATAGTAATTGAAACACATTCCTGATAAACAAAAACTTAAGTTGTAAGTTTAAACTGAGTGTCCATATATTATTTTGTTCCCATATACTCTTTTGTTTTGTGGGGAACAAAATCGGTAAGTACCACTTGATAAGTAATAAGTTAATGGAATTTGGTTTAAGTACTAGGTTTATTTGTTTTTAAATAGGGTTTCTAGTTGGAGTGATGAAATAACAAGGCAAAGGTAGAAAATATTTACTCAACCTTACTGTTATTTTTTTAACTATTTGATAAATTATCAAATACCACAAAAATAGCTGTTGACTGAATTATTTGACTAAGACCAGTTAATTAAACTAACATTTTAAGTAAATGTTATTTATGTAGCCCTGATTCCTGGATCTTTTCTGTTGTCCTTGCTTTGCTTTCTTCATTTTATCTTTTTCTTTCCTACTGGAGAATATAGCATATACCTCTTCATCGTTTTCAGGTCCTTTCTCTTTTCACCTCCTATCTCTTTCCTTTTCTCCCCACTCTTCTTCACCTCCACCCCTGCATCTTCTGTTTCTCCTTTCTTCTGCCACTTCTTGATTCTGTCTGTGTACTGAACTTCTCTTTTCAAATTCATCTTATCAGTGTCTCTCTCTCTGCCTCACATGACCGTCACTCACCCACTCAAAGCAGAGCATCTGTGCACAGACTTGGAAACATTCAGGTACTTAAAACCTAGAGAGCTACTGTATTGGCATGAATATATCCATGAAGCATATATTAGAATAGCCCCCGGTCTGGCCTTGTAACTTGTTTTGCATCAAGTCTGCATGCTCCCTGACAGTGCATCGCCTGCTTGCCAAACTTCTCTCTGTTCAAGCATTGTATGTGAAGCTCCTTGTTACCTGGGACCTGGTCCAATCCTACTGCCTGTGCCAGCCAGCCTGCCTGACAGCTACCTGGCCTGCTGCAGGTGCTCCAGCTGCCTTTGGCCACCAGACTCCATCCCTGGGGCTCTGGAAAGGGAAACACAGTATGTCTTTTCAAACAAAGACTAGCTGTTTTTTCTAAGTATTTCCTGTAAAACTAAACAGTTGTCTCTATATTTTACTTAGGCTACTATGGTAAAAATTATTGGCTTCAGATTAATCAATACAAAACAAGTAGATTTTGCTCAGCATTGATTATCAATACTGTCTACCGAGTTGCTGGAAAAGGGACAGGTGTGAAAAATCTGCCATGTTGTTCAAAGATTTGAGCTTTTTTCCCATTTAATGAGTTTGAGGATTGTGCCACTCTTCCAAAACAAGTTCCTGTTTGAGACTTTCCCTTTTTTCAGTTTTATTTTGTATAGGTCATAAAGGATAACCATAAAGGCTTTTTTCTATAGCTTTCCACTTATAAAAACTATAAGTTGATTTTTCTGCGCAAACAATGCCTTTGATGCAGCATGTGAGCTGTTTTTTATGGCAGTCATATTTTGCCATGCAAGACATAAAATAAAAACCTAAATTACTTTGTGTCATTCAGCTGGTTTCATAAGGCTTCAATTGCAAATTCATGGATAGATGGATCATTTCACTTCTCTGAATAAGTTATGTAATTGGAAAAGTTAATTTCATTTCAGAATTAAAAGCTAATGAATGGCTAGAAGTTTCTATCTATGAAATATATGATTATTATTTAGAACAAGGCAATGCTGGTATGAATTAACAGACAATGTTAACAGACTATAAATAATTTTGTTTAGAAATTAAATGTCACTTTAACTAAAATGTAGAAGCTTGCATTTGGCAAAATGATTTGATGCCATAGCAACAGATGACAATTACAAGCAGCTTTCAGGAGTTGCCCACATTCCTTTTCCCCCGCCCGAGCCTATCCATATCCATGGTGCAAGAGATGAACTCTGACCTTTGTTTTCTAACCTTCCTTGAAGAAACATATCCCTCTTCTTGCAAAGTAAGAAGCTCCAGTTCTAGATCACTTGACCTAAAGTAAATCCACGCAGTGGACATGCTACTTGCTTATGTACTGTTATTGGAAAATCAGTTTTGCCTCAAACTGTATTTCAGATCAGACTGACATAATATGGGAGTATATTTATGGATTATATTTTAATTTGAAATAATTTGCTGTATTTTTTTTTAGATTCAACTGTAGATTGAGGTGGTCAGTGAGTTTTTAACAGTTTAAATGCTGTTTAAAAAAACCCCAATAACACTAAATGTATTAAGCCAAATACAGCTGTCAAAACTGAAATATTCAGGTTGCAAATGAATGCATTCAGACAGCTGGAGAAACCACAGTGTACTCGTGTTTGTACTTTAATTCCAACTTGAGTTGGAACATGAGTTGAGACATAAGTCTAGGAAACAGGATACCCATTTTTGTTTTTAATTTGTAGCCAACTGTTGCTTTATTTGCCCAGTGCTGAGATATTTTTTTTTCTTAATGTGCTTGTAGTCTTATGTATCATGCTTCTTTTGTGGTACTTGTTATTATAGTATCAGAGAAACAAGTATACAAGAAAATTGTAGCAGTACAAATTCTGTTGTACCCTCCATCTGCCCTAACTCTACCAATGGAAATTTGCTTCTGAGTTCTCACCTCTTTATCATAGGTCTCGGGAGCTATTCTGGCAGTTCTAAATTAGGATTTTCATTGTTGCTGCTAATTCTGACGTTGCTGGATTTTGTGTTTGCTGACCTTGGTCCTGTTGAGTGGCTTTAGTTCTAACTCCAAGGAATGTGCTACATCCAACTTCTCTCTAAAAGTATAAGAACAAAAAGCATTTAACGCCTTAATAATTTAAGGACAAGTCTATTGGAACCATAGAATGTGAAATGTGTTGTGTATGTTTTAACTTGTTAATTAAAGAAGCAATAATTGGAGTCTTAAAAGAATCAACTGAAATCTAACGTTACACACTTCTGCTATGTTGTGGTCTTGTAATTTCCAGCACTATTTGCTGAATTCTTCACATACTTTTCCTCTAATCAGTTTGTAATCACCATGTGGTGTAATTAGATTAATATACTTTCATTTATTGCAGCTACCCATTAGAGGAAAATTTTGTACTTCTGCCTTTATATTTGTCCTATATGAATGAATACAGAATTCTGTACTTTCATTAAAGTGGCCTCAACTTACTTAGGTGAAGAGCAACCAATTTAATGATGCATGGAAGCTTTCATTCTCTTTATAAGTTTCTCTAGTCCTTAACTTCTTTTTTCCCCCCTCTTCTTAGATGATGAGTACCAATGGAAGGGGCCCTTCTACTTCATCCAAGGAGCAGATCCTCAGTTTGGACTGATGAAAGCTTGGGCAATTGGAGACATTAACAATGGAGATGATGAATGGGGAGAAGAAATCAAATTAGTAGAGCAAGCGGTGCAGGCCATTAACAAACTAAATCCTAAACCCAAGTTCTTTGTGTTGTGCGGAGACCTTATCCATGGAATGCCAGGTAAGGCAATTAAAAGTGTAGAATGGGGATTGTAACTCCATTTTCTTTATATTTCATATTGGCACAAGGCTAATTTAATTTCCTTGCATAATACTCTTTCATAGGATTTGGTATGCTGCTGTTTTGGTGTTTGGGAAAAAAGTGTGCTTTGTAGATGATTCTTGAGACGTTATTCTGATTTCTTCATCTGACTTCCTGTATCATTCGTTTTAGGGGTGTACTTCTGTTAGTTAGTTGCTTTTTTTTTCAGTGGGCCTGAAGAAATTTTCTTTGAAATAAAAGTCCTAAGAAGACACATTAAAATTCTTTCTTCTAAACAAATTGCTTTGAGAAGACAAATAGGGACTCTTAACCATTGGGGAAAAACAACGCCAAGAAAAGAACAAAAAATAGTTATGGCTTTTTGAGTACCTAAAGTGGGTGAAGCTCAGAGAATTCTCTGGCTTTCTAATGCTTAATAAATTCAACTGCTTCAATATTTAAATTCTTAAAATGATAAAAGTCAGCAAATTCAAGTTTTAGCACTCTGTCCTGTTGCTGTGGGACTCAGATCAGTGTGTTTCTGTGTACAGTCAGAGGAAGAACAACAGACCATCTAGAAAGGTGGGTTGCAAATTTTGACAGTTATAACTTTAAAACAGACTGGTATTTTAAGAAGATAAGTAGTCGTCTTGGAAGTGAATGAAAAAGTGATGTTACCAGTTGACAAATGGTCTCAAAAGCAGATCTAAACACGGTGTCTTACATTTCTTAGCCTTGATAAGAAGCAGAGGTGCAGACAGCCTTAGCTATGCAGCTGACAGCACAACAATCCACCAAGTGAGCTTGCAAATACAGAGTCCTGTGTGCTTTATGCTACGCTCTGCTTTACACTTCACTTGCACCTGAGGTGGTGCTTCCCAGCTCTTGTATGTACAGGAAGGTTTTGAGCATGTTTGAGACCTTTCACTGATTCCTTTAGTGTCCCACAAAGGGGATTTTAAAACCTCAGCTGTCAAATTGACAAGTCAAATTGATTGACATTATTTATAGGCTACAGACTTTCTTTTGACCAGAACACAATTTTAGTTGATAGAGTGGGAAAGTGTAAAAACCAACAGCTTGATAGAATCTACTGTGTAAAACCTCAGTAGCTTGATCATAATGTAAAGTCTGCCATTATGCAGTTCTTCTCTTGGTTTATGTTCTTCCATTAATTTTGGAAGTACAGGTTTGACCCAGAATCATAAAATAATCTCTTCCTAAGAATCATCTGGCCTTCCTATAGCAGAGTTTTAATAAGTATTTCGATTAGGACTTTTAATTTGTGTAAGTGTTCCAAATACGTTACCTTCAGTATCCCTTGTAAGAGGAAGAAAATTCAGGACAAATAATAGGTGTTCTACATCCTATTGAAAAGGATCTTTCACTCACAAATTTAAATAATCCAGGAAGCTAAGTTAGTTTCATTTTACCTGGATATTTCTCAAAGGCTGATAAAACAATGCAGAGTTCTGAGTACTTTTGTCTATATTGACTTTAAACAATGTTATTCTAAGGCTTTTCTGTTGATAGAGAGTAAGTGCCAACTACAGAGAGCCAGCAGTCTTCTGACTTCTACTGGGTACTGAATGGCTAGATATGGTAAATAAGTCTTGTGTGTGGAAGGTTTTATGTTTTTTTCCTAGTAATGGATCTCTGTAGTCATTATTATCCCTTTTACTAGCGTATGTCTCAGACTTCCGTAATATTTTAAATACAAACCTGTCAGGGTTTTGCAAAACGTTATCATATATTCATTTTGCTAACAAACATGTAAAAGAAACTGGACGGATTGTACTGCTGAGATCACTTACATTGTGTAATGTATGTGCTATGCATTGTATAAATATTTGAAGCTGCCTAGTGCAATTTCCAAGAAACTGCAAGAAAGCAGCTCATTCCGTAATATTTTAAATACAAACCTGTCAGGGTTTTGCAAAACGTTATCATATATTCATTTTGCTAACAAACATGTAAAAGAAACTGGACGGATTGTACTGCTGAGATCACTTACATTGTGTAATGTATGTGCTATGCATTGTATAAATATTTGAAGCTGCCTAGTGCAATTTCCAAGAAACTGCAAGAAAGCAGCTCATTACTCGGTGATCTCTTTTCCAGCCTAAGTGATTCTATGATTACCCCACTTGAGCCGCCATATTTTAATCCATCATAATTTCTTCCCTTTTACTAGCGTATGTCTCAGACTTCCGTAATATTTTAAATACAAACCTGTCAGGGTTTTGCAAAACGTTATCATATATTCATTTTGCTAACAAACATGTAAAAGAAACTGGACGGATTGTACTGCTGAGATCACTTACATTGTGTAATGTATGTGCTATGCATTGTATAAATATTTGAAGCTGCCTAGTGCAATTTCCAAGAAACTGCAAGAAAGCAGCTCATTACTCGGTGATCTTAAGGGTCTTTTCCAGCCTAAGTGATTCTATGATTACCTCACTTGAGCCGCCATATTTTAATCCATCTAATAATTTCTTGTTGATTGAAATTATGTTCTTTAATACTTTGTAAGCCTGTGTTATCATGTAGTTATATAAAATAGTTAGAAATGTACTACTAATAGGAATTTTAGAATATTCAACTGGAACAATTACTTATTTCATTACTGTCTTTGTATTTATACAAATGGCTTGCTGCGCCATGAGTTGGTAAACATATAAGTACAATTTAACAATTAAATTGTACATATAAGTACAATTTTACAGTCAGCCATTTGTCTTTCTGTCTAAAGTGAGGAGAGAGAGAAAAGTGAATCGCTCTACGGTGCAGATACCTGTGGATTAGCACTCTGACTAGTTGCCTAGAAGGGCAGGGAGATGTGATACAGCAAGGGAGACAGAAATGGAGAGTCAGAAAAATACTTCACTGAAGATAAATCTACATCTGTGTGTTTAAAAGAATTTGAAACAACGCTTTAGTTTAAACTGTATGAATGTCTGTTTTGGAAGTGAAATACTAGGTTTTTCAAAGGATTTTTTCCTACCTTTTCTTCTTGATTACTTAGGTTCTGGAATAGAAACTCCTTCAAAACACAAAGAGTTAAAGAAACTTAAAGAAAATATATTTTAAAGCAAGACAATGCACATCCTGTTTTAAAAATGTCTTATCAGGATACTTATTGACAATTTATTTGGTTTGGCTTGTTAATAGCTGTTACTGTATGAGACATTGCAAGACATTGGCATTAAGCAGCCAAGATGTTGGCCTTTATAAGAACTTATTTGCTGCATATTCTTTTATCAAAGTAGAAATCCTCTGATGTTAGAAATTAAAACTTTCCACATTCCTTGCAGTGAAAGTTTTTGGAAAACTTGGAAATACTGCAGTCACGTTCTCAAGTTTTCTGCCGCATTCCATGCTCAACTCTAGGGATTGAGGTGACTTCCTTCTTATGGAGGAATGAATTCTTAAATTTCTTCTCTTACATGGGTATGTGTTTGAAGCGCTAGTGTATTTCTGCAGCAGTTATGACTCAGATAAAAAGGAGGAGCCATTATATTCCACTGTCATATGGCACAAGTCTCTCTCCATTAATTCCAGTACTAATACTGTGCTTGAGATTTCACACTTCTTTACATAATCCATTTAAACAATTCTAACTTAAAGTGAAGACACAATGAGATAAAAAGCTGTCAGCAACTGATTGAACTCTTGAAAAAATTTTAGAAAGAGTTCCATTTCAAAATTATAAGAGTAATATTGAAATTTGCCAGCACTTTCATTATTTGTTACAACAAAAATTTGAAATTATAAGTCTTTCGGCAATACTACATTAATGAAAAAGAGCAAACAGAATCTAAGAATCTTTATAGCCAATAGCTTTTCAGATAATTTGAATATAAATGTTTGTAGAATTGAAGACCAGTAGTAATATTTCTTTTCCTGGAGTAATTTAAGTATTTTCACTGTTTTAGCCAAGGATGTTTAGACCTACGTAATGCATGTCTGTAGTAGAATGGTACTGCAGTCATTTCATACTTCTCCACTGAGGAGTCTCTCCAAGAATAATTGCTGTGTCAATTCCCTTATCATCTTAGTTCAATGAAACGAAGGATTAAAAATTCAATTTTTCAGTAGGCAAAAATCAGAAATGACATCAGACAAGACATTGATTTAAGTTTAACAATTATGAATTTGACTTGTACATGTATCTTATTTAATGTCTCAAATTGCCTTTTAAATCACTTCTGTGTATCAGCAATATTGAAACTGAAAACATCAGCATTAATGAAAGTGTATCACAGTTACTATTGCAGCATGGTTATTGAAGAAAGCTATGATCAACTGAAGTTCAGCTATATTTTACGATCCATTGGCCAATGTCTACAAAGGTCTTTGGATTATACTGCTTTATAATCAATGCCTGTCAATAAAAAGGAGCGAGGGGGAACCCACATCTTCCTCTCTTCTCTTCATACGTTTTACCATGGAGTACTAAGTGTAAAGTTTGTGATGACTGTTTTAAAGCATGCACCATAGCAGCTTAGCTGAAGCAATGTTGAAGCCTTTTGCAAAGGAACTCCAAGAAATCTCAGAATTCCAGCAGCTAGAAGTGATGAACAGAATCCTAATCAGCTGGGAAGCAATCAGGCACAGCACTTGGAATCCATTACAGATGTCATTAGAGCAACGAAGTAATCAGTGCCAGTATCTTCGTATTTAGTTGCTGATTAAAAGTAGTTTGTACTCTGAATATTATTTTCAGAAGTTTTTCTTGATTACATAATCAAGAGTAGGATATCTATTCCTGGTAACGCTAATATGGTGGTACATAATCAAGAATTTTAAGCAATACCTTATAGTGCAACTGTGTTACTGAAAATAATGTATAAACTTGATACTTACACCTAGATACACCATGGGTAATGGAAGACTTACTTGTGAAGACATTTGTATGCATTAAGTTAGTGTACCATAACTTAGAATGGCAAAAATGGTAATCTGTAAAATGCAAA